GTCTTGCCTGTTCCCATTCCAAAACAGCTGCAGTGAGCAAAGTCCTCTGGCTGGCAGTGGCCAGAAACTCCCAGCTTCTGTACCGACCCCAATCTCCTCTCCCCTGTTTTGGGACTCACCTCGGCTCTCTAACACTTTAACTGCCATCTGGAGCTCTGAGATCTCAGTCTGTGCCTGTTTTATTCATTGCTCAGTGGGTTAGTTGCAGGGGATAAATAGGAGTGACTGTTTACCATGTTGTCCCACCTCCATCCCTAGCATGATGAATCTAAACGGTAAAAGTTAACCAAAAAAAAATTAAAAACAAAATTTAATCCCTTTCATCAGCATTGAAATAAGGAAAGGGACTGTGATAGTTAAGATTGTGTGTCAACTTGGCTGGGCGATGATTCTCAGTGTTTATATATGATCACTCCCATGATGAAATTTGCTGTGAGTAGCCAATCAGTTGAAAGGGAGTTTCCTTGGGGATGTGGCCTGCATCCACATATAAGCAGATGTTCTGGGTTTTTGCTTGCTCTGGATCCTGTGGCTGCTTCTTGTTCACCTGACCACTGGTTCTTGGGACTTCCGCTATCAGCTTATCTGCCGATCTTGGGATTCGTCGACCTTCACAGCCTGTGAGCAGGAGCCCTGCTCTCTGACCTGCTGATCTTGGGTTCCCCAGCCCCTGTGGCTACATGAATCAAGAGAAGCCTCTGTCCTGATCCACGGACTTGGGACGTTCCAGCTTCTACAATCGCATGAGCTATTTCCTTGCTATAAATCTCTTTATATATATTTACACACTTTACTGGTTTTGCTTCTCTAGAGTACCCAGCCTAAGACAGGACTTAATAGCGTAAAATTCAAAGTGGCAGCCCAGGACATAGTATCAGTAAATATCTAATACAGTTCTCAGTTACTCATATGTAATTACTCTTCACAGAGAAAAGAATCTAGTGTGATTTAGTATGTGTTCTAATCCTGTAGCCCTCTTCTTTTACCTCCCCAAGGTGTATTCATTAGTCCACAAAATCTTGAGAATTTTTATTAACAACTGAATCTGTAAAGAGGCAAGCAGGAGAAGAATCGGCATCTTATGATTTGGGGTATAGTGGAACAAGCTCTTGGGCAGAGAACATAGGTGTGATGGGGTGGTGATGTAGAAATCAGGGATTGCCTCTTAGAAGCAAAAATTGCTTGTTTATGAATTGGAATTAGATTAATGATAGTGTCTTAGCCTGGGTTGACTAGAGGAGGAAAACCAGCATGGCATGTACAGGGGTAGGTCAAAAATTATTGCTACTGTGGTTCCAGTTCATACATGCATGGGTTTATTCTGAACAAAACGTGCCTAAACATGTTGCTGAGATCAGTAGATGGCTGCAGACAAGTTCTCTCCGTAATACACTTGGCTTAGTCTCATTAGGGTGCCTTCAGAAAAAGAAAAGGATACTTTTTTATGCCATGGGAAAAAGTGATTTTGAGGTCAGGGCTAATATAAAATTTCTAATAAAGCTTCAAGTGGACATCTTCCCAAATCATTGAAGCTTTGCAGCAATGTTATAGGAATGCTGCCCCACATAAAGCAACAGTTTTTAGATGGATCAGGCGTTTTATGGAAGGTTGGGAAGACCTCAAAGATGAACCAAGAGAGAAGGCCACTTGGAAGATTATGGCGACTGTAATCTTGAGAGGTTTTCTCAAAGGACACAGGACGATCACGGGGGCTTATTATGAAGAAGTTTCAAGAAAATTGAAGACTGTATTGGTGAGAAAAAGGCCAGGAAAGTTGCACCAAGGAATTTTTTTCTATCACAACAATGCACCTGCTTATTCTTTGAGGGTTAGCAAAGGCTGTCCTACAAAAATTTCATTGGGAAACCTTACCCTATCTACCCTACAGCCCTGATCTTGCCCCTTCAGATTTCTTTTTGTTCCTAAAAGTCAACATGTAAAAGCAACATGATTTTAGTCCCTTGAGGATGCCAAAACTGCCATTTTGACGTGGGTAAATCAAAGAGCACAGAATTCTTTGGGGAAGAGTTAGAGAGATGGAAACACCGCCTTCAGAAGCATATAGACCTAGATGGAGGATATGTAGAGAAACAGTAGCTTCACATTTTGATATGTTTGTTTAATAAAGGTTTCTATGATTTTGTAGCAATACTTTTTGACTTACTTTTGTTTGTGTGTGTGTGTGTGTGGTGTATGTATGTGTATGGGGGTCTGTAAACTGGCTCAAGTCTGAGAATTAATTGAGGGGCCGCAACTCTATTCTGGCAATTCAATTCTTCAGATTGTACAGATCAAGTAAATATTTAGTAGATTTCCCATCTGTTTCACTCCTAGGGACACCATGAGTAAGTAGCCAACGTCATAAGACCATATGAGTCAGAGTATTCTGATTACTGCTTTGACTCTGCTGTCCCATATGGTAACCATACCCCCCTTGTCTTTGTCAGTGAAATGCCCCTTCTTGGTCCCTACCACCACAAGGTCCAGTCAACCCTATTGTAGTTAGATGTCTTAATTTAGGGCAGTTTCCACTGTCAAATCCAACTTACGTAAAATAGCAATCACAGCAGTCTTCAAGGGTGCTGGATCTCCTGTCACAAATTTGTTCTTCTCTGCTGTGGTAAAAGGTGTGTCCTCTGGGCACTCCATTTGTGGGTCTGTGGGTCTATCCTGATAAATTCACTCTAGCATGCCAATTTCCCTAAGCCTTTAGATACCTTCTTCTATAATATACCAAAGCAGCTCTGGTACTTCAGCTTGGTTTAATGTAGGCCACAATGTAATCCATGCTTCAGTGAACCAACCAAGTAAACTATCAGATCCTTTCCTAACCTCTTAAACTGAAACATTGAATGAAAAATCTGTGCTTAGTGGGCCCTTATCAGTAAACTCAGACTGATCCAACTTTATGTTCCTTGCACCATTATCCCACACCCTTAATAGCCATTCCCACACATATTCCCCAGGTTTATGTTTGTATATATTAGAAAAATCAAGCAGTTCTTTTGGAGTGTAGCATACCTCCTACTGGTTCATCCTTTGTACTTTACCTTTTGAGGCTTGCTGTGACTTAAGTCTAGTTATGGGTCTAGAAGCAAACATGGGTGTTGGTGGTGTATCCTGGGAACATTCAGCAATGTCTTGTAAGGTATCTGCCTCAGGCAGTGTCCCAGGTGATATCTCAGACAAGGACTCTTCAGGTATAACAGGGTTAATCTCGTGACATGGGGTAAGAGGAGTGATTCAGTGGAATGTAGGGGATCAGTGTTCCCAGCTTCTTGATTATCTGCCCATATGTCCCCATCCCAAGTTTTAGGATCCCATTTCTTCCCAGTCAATGCCCTCACTTTAACTTCAGACACCATTTGAGGTTGGGAATTTAATTGGCATTGTAATTCAGCCACTCTTAAGACTCTGGGTTTGTTTTTCAGTGGTATCAGCTCTGTTACTGCAAGAAGTGAGGCTTTCCTTCAGGGCACAAGTGGCAACTTTGAGGTCATTTATGCAGTGCTTGAGCTGTGACCCTGAACCCTAAGCTCATATCTTTCTTTCATCACTTGGTCTACTGAAAGTAGGGCCAACCACCATCTTCCCTATACTTCTTATGCTGACAAAACTGTAGAAAAGTGTCAAACGTGATCAACTGGAGCCTCACTTCTCACCAGTATTTGATCTATTGGTGATATTTTGCATATTGATATTGCCACCTCATGGATTAGCAGCACCCTCTTTACTACTGGAGGCAGAGTCATCAGCACCTTTAAGACTAGTCAGACATGAGAGCCAATTTAGAAAACTCATCTGTATGATTTTGTTTCTCTAGAACCAGTCTTGATACCAAGTGTCTTAGGCTGGGTTTTCTAGAGAAGCAAAACCAGTGAAGTATGTATATATATATATATATACAGAGAGAGAGATTTATCACAAGAAAATGGCTCATGCGGTTGTAGGGGCTGGCAAGTCCCAAGTCTGTGGGTCAGGCTGGAGGCTTTGCCTGATTCGTATAGCTGTAGGGTCTGATGAACCCAAGACCAGCAGGTAAGACAGCAGGCCACTGGTCACAGGCTGAGGAGGCTAACGAACCCCAAGATTGGCAGGCAGTCTGGCAGGCTGCTGGCTCAAGTCCCAAGAACTGGAGGTCAGATGATGACAAGCCAGATACAGGATCTAGAGCAAGCGAGCAAGCTTTGCCAAAATGTCTATGTAAATATTGGATACAGACCACATCCCTGAGGAAACTCCCCTTAAAACTGATTGGCTGATCATATCAGATCACATCGTGGAGGAGGACTACACTATTACATAACTGCCAAGTTACATCATTACATAACTGCCAAATCACTGAGAATCGTGGCCTAGCCAGGTGGACACATAACCTTAATCATCACATCTCCCTCCTTGACCTTTTACCTAAACCTCTTTGTGTTATCTTTTTAGCATTTGTGTTAGTGATTATATTGTGCATCTTTGACTCATTATTGCCTACCTTCAACTAATATTTTAATATTTTATGTACTAAGAACTACAGAACAGAATAATTCCATTTACTCTCCCCCTGTCCTTTGTGGGGTTTTTTTTCCCCCATGTATTTCACTGCTATGTGTGCTATAACCTCCACATGTTATTATTTTTGCTTGAAATAGTCAATAGTTTTTAAAGAACCATGCTCCTTCTGGAAGGCCGATGGTGTGGTGGTTTGGGTCAGTTTAATCTGTGGTTGAGCTGAGTCTGGGTTTTGTTGCAGTTTTGATTACATTCAGTTCATCATTGCCTTTAGAGTCCCTTCACTGAGACTTTGAATCAAGCATCAACAAGACCTTGAATATCTTGCTATGTTTTATAGCCTTGCTGCTAGTGTTTTGTCCCTTACAAAACTTTCTTTGCTCCCATTTTGTTCCTGGCACTCTGCATGAAATAAAGTTGGCAAAGCCTGGCCTTAGATGGTAGAATGTCGCCAATTTACGACTCTGATTTAGGAACTCTTTGTTTCCTTGCCCTAGGTATTCCTGGGATGGAGAGCCACTCTTCCTGTCCTGCCTTGCACCAGAAGTCATCGAGCTCCCAGCCTGTAGTCACTGTGGAGGCCGACGGATATTTGAGTTTCAACTTATGCCAGCACTGGTCAGCATGCTCAGAAGTGCTGACTTAGGTAATAAGCCCTTTGTTAATTTGAGTTTGTCGATTCTCGCGTTATTTTGGAATTATTTTAAAATGTAAGACTACATTTTTATATGTTACTTATAAAATATCGCAAGCATAAAAAGTTTTGGAAATTAAAATTATTTTTAGAAAACTTATAATCCCACCAATCTAACAAAAACACTGCCACCACTTTGACTGATTTAAGGACAAGCTATTTATTATCGATAACATTTTTTTCATGACATTATTATGTCATCAAAATTCAGTAGTTTTTTAAAAGTAACTTTTAAAATGATTGATTTTTGTATTTATCACTATTATATTGCCTTTATTTAAAAAAATTTTTTAAGAAAAACTAGGTGTTTTTAGAATAAGCAATGCATGCTTGTGATGCAGGATTCAAACAGTACAGAAATGCATAGAGTAAGATTAAAGCAGTAAAACAGCAGTTGCTGTTGAGTCGATTCCGACTCATGACGACCCCATGTGTGTCAGGGTGGAACTGTGCTGCATAGTGTTTTCAATAATAGATTGCGAGGCCTTTCTTCCGAGGCACCTGTGGGTCGACTTGATCTACCAGTGTTTCCATTAGCTGCTGAGAGGGTTAGCTGCACCCCAGGGAACTCAGTCCGGTAAGAACTGAAGGCTTCACTAATGTCAGTTACTAGAGGGAACTGTGCCTTTTTTTTTTTTTTTTTTTTTAATATAGTGGATATATTTTCTGTACTTTCCTCTAAACATATTTTATGCATACACACATACGTATGTATTTAAAATAATTGTTTTAAACAAAACTATGCATGCCATTATTTTACCACTTTTTTTTCTCATATAATTGGAGAAATTTTTCCATGTTAATATATAAAGATCTTTTGCAAACAACTTTACTGAGGTATAACTGACATGTAACAGACTGCACATATTTAAAGTGTACAATCTGGTAAGTATTGCCATAGGTGTACACTCATGAAACCATCACCACAGTGAAGACAGTGAGCATACCTATTACCCCAGAAGTGTCCTCAAGCCCCTCTGTAAGTGTCCTGTGACCCCTCTACCCTGTAACCATTGATCTACTTTCTGTCAGAGATCAGTTTGCATTTTCTGGAATTTTTATAAATGAAATCATACAGCGTGTACTCTTTTTTGGTCTGCCTTTTTTTACTTGGCATTATTATTTTGGGATACATCCATGTTGTGTATATTAATAGTTGCTCTTTATTACTGTGTAATATTTCATCGTACATATATATGAGAATTTGTTTATCTAGTCACCTTTTGGGAACTCTGGTGGTGCAGTGGTTAAGAGCACAGCTGCTAACCAAAAAGTCAGAAGTTTGAATCCACCAGCCGCTCCTTGGAAACCCTACAGAGCAGTTCTCCTCTTTCCTGTAGGGTTGCTATGAGTCGGAATTGACTCGACAGCAACGGGTTTTAGTCACCTTTTAATGGTCATCTGTGTTGTTTCCAGTCAGGGCTATTAACAAATAAAGCTGCTGTGAACATTCATGTATAAGTCTTTATGTGGACATAGGCTTTCATTTCTCTTGGATAAATGGCTAGGAGTGGAATTTTTGGATCACGATGTATTATTTTTTGATACGCTGTTGGATTCTACTGGCTAGAATTTTGTTGGGAATTTTTTCATCTATATTCATGAGGGATATTGGTCTGTAGTTTGTGTGTGTGTGTGTGTGTGTGTGTGTGGTGTCTTTGCCTGGCTTTGGTATCAGGGTTATGCTGGCTTCACAGAATGAACTCATGAATATTTCTTCCTTTCCTATGCTCTAAAATAGTTTGAGTAATGTTGGTGTGAGCTCTTCTCTGAAAGTTTGGCAGAATTCTCCAGTGAAGCTGTCAGGGCCAGGGCTTTTTTTGTTGGGATTTTTTTTATTAAACCTTTTCAATCTCTTCTTTTGTTATGGGTCTGTTTAGTTTTTCTACCTCAGTTTGTGTTAGTTTAGGTATATAGTGTGTTTCTAGAACTTCTTCCATTTCCTCTAGGTTTTCAAATTTGTTAGAGTACAATTTTCATCGTTTTCTGTTATGATCCTTTTTATTTCAGTTGATTCTGTTGTGATATCACCCGTCTCATTTCTTATTTGGGTTATTTGCTTCCTCTCCTGTTTTCCTTTTGTCAGTTTGGCCAGTGGTTTGTCGATTTTGTTGATTGGTTGGATCATATGGTAGGTCTGTGTTTAACTTTTGTTTTGTGACTTGTCTATTACGGCAACTCAAGTTATCCTCATGTTTGGTTACCTTTTTCTTCTCAAGTTGACATTAACATCTTTCTCTTTTACTCTACGTTCATTGAGATTATCTCAAACCTTTCCTTTCTGCTTATGATTGGATTTCCATCTGTCTCTTCTGTGCTTGTGGTTTCTGATTTGTTTTTCTCAACATTTTATTGTGTTTTTGGTGAAGGTTTACACAGCAGTTTAGGTTCCCATTCCACAATTTCTACACAAGTTGTCCAGTGACATTGGTTACATTCTTCAAAATGCGTGAACGTTCTCCTTATTTCCATTCTGGTTGTTCCATTTCCCATTCATCTAGTTTCCTTGCCCCCTTATAGTCTCAACGTTGTTTTAAAGTCAGTGTTGACCATTTGGTCTCATATAGGTGATTTTTTAAAGGAGCACAGTACTTACGGGTAACATGCATTATTTTTTGAGCCAATTTGTCATTTATCTACAAGGTGACCTCAGGAGTTAGTCTAAGTTCAAGGTTTGAAGATTATCTCATGGCAGTAGTCTTGGGGAGTCCTCCAGTCTCAACCAGTCTGGTGGGTCTGGCCTTTTTTGTTTGTTTTTTGTGCTTAGGAATTTGAGGTTTTGTGCCACATTTTTTCTCTCATTTTATCAGGATCTATCTTTTGTAGCTCTGATTAGAATGGTCGATAATGGTAGCCAGGCACCATCTAGTTCTTCTGATCTCAGGGTGGATAATGCTGTGGTTCATGTAAACTATTTGTCCTGTAGAATAGTTTCTTCTTTGAGTCTTTGGTTTCTTTTTTTCTCTTTGCTCCAGACAAGTAGAGACCAATAATTGTATCTTTAAGTCTCAAGACACTACTCACCGAACTAGGATGTAGAACATAACTTTGTGAACTATATTACGCCATTTGACCGAGACGACCCAGGAGACTGTGGTCCTAATTCTTCAAACCCAGAAATCCAATCCTGAGAGGTGTTTGGTTATGTCTAAGAAGTATCCATAACTGTGCCTTCTATGTGCTTTATTATATATATGAATATATGTGTATATAGTCACATAGATGCATACACATATACATATACATACACCTCTATATACAGACGTATATACTGTTGGCGCAGTGGTTAAAGTGTTCGACTGCTAACCAAAAGGTTGGTGGTTCGAATCCCCCAGCTGCTGTTTGGAAACCCTACAGCGCAGTTCTTTTCTGCCCTATAGGGTCACTATAAGTCGGAATCGACTCGACGGCAACGGGGTTTTTTTTTGTGCCTATGTACATACATATATACCCGCACATATACTTTTTGGTTGTTTTTGCTGTTGTTTCACAGTTGTAGATGCCATAGCAGTTACCAAGAGGTCCTTTTTCCTTGTGTACTTTTTAGTGACATCATTTACCTTCATCAAGCTGTGTACACTTCACTTTCCTTTGGTGTTACCTTTCCCATCACCAAAAATAACAAGTGTTTACTATCTAGAGAGTGAATCCCCTCCCCCCCATCCCTGGTAACCACTAATGAACGTTAGTTTCTTATATTTACTTGTTCATGTCATTTCATAAAAATGAGAACATACAATATTTGTGTTTTTGTTTTTTGTGGTTGACTTATTTTGCTCAACATAAAACGTCCTCCAAATTCATCCAAGTTCCAAGATGTTTTGGGAACTCATTTTCCTTATCACTGAGTAGCATTCCATGGTATGTATGTACCACATTTTACTTATCCATTCATCCTTCAATAGGTACTTAGGTTATTTCCATCTTTTTGCTATTGTGAATAGTGCTGTGATGAACATAGGCGTGCATATATCTGTTTGTGTCACTTCTATTAGATCCCTAGGGTGTATGTGGGTTCTGAGTTCTTTATTAGATGTGTAATAGGGCTGTTTGGCCTCCATGTTTCCTCTCTCCCCTACCCCCTTTTCCTCCCCCCAGCTATGGCAGGTCTCAGGGTTCAGGCCTCCTGTGCAGTACTCAGCTATTTCGTATTTTATTCCATCTGATCCCTCCCACCACCTTCTGTCCTATCCTGGTGGTTACTAGTTCTGAGACTCCAGCCTTCCTGTGCCCTCCACAGACTACCTGTTGTACATTTCTGGTTAGAAATTAGTCTCAAATCCAGCAGGTTATTTCTCCCAAACCAGCTCTCTTTATCCCATTACCCAAACCTACATTTTCTTCGCTTCTTTGCTTCCCCAGACCAGTTGCTCGGCTCATCCAGTTTGTTCCTGCTTCCTGTATTCTGATATCAGCAGGAGTTCTTGTTTTCTTGGTGTCATTCTTTATAGCTCCCTTCATCGATAGATTTCTATAAACTCTTAGGATTCATTGTATATTTTTTGCCTGAATCCTTGCTTTGAGGTAGTGGGTTCTGTTTGGTGACATATTTTATTATCAGAGTGTATTTCCCTGCTACTTTTAATTAAATCTGCCTTTTGCCGTCAGTGTTCACTTATTGTAGGAGAGATTGTGACTGTATTATGACTGAAAGCTAGTAAGCTCGGCCTTTGCTTTACCTAATTATTTTTGCAGCTTGTAAGGTGGAATCATTCTGTAGGAACATGTTTTCCTGATGTTACGCCATCTTTCTCTCCTACTTCTGTTATCTTTTATTTATTCAACCTCTTTGTTTCATAATGATCACTTAAGATATGCCAGTCTCTTTTCTAAACATTACACATGCATTAGCTTATTTATCCCCCCTCACAACAATCTTATGATCATGATAAATAATATCATTATCACAGAAAGGTAAAGTAACTTGCTTAATGTGGTAGAACTGGTATTTGAGTGTAGGCAGTCTTGGCTCCAGACTCTGCTTTATCCACTAAACAAACTTTCAAATGTTGAGTGTATCTCATAACACTTTCTCTTTGCTGGAATCCTTAATGTGTTGTATTTTTCAGGTCTTTCTGTGGAATTTGGAACAATTCTAATTTACACATGTGAGAAAAGTTGCTGGCCTCAAAATCATCATACTCCCGTGGAAGAATTTTGTATTGTACAAGAAGACCCAGATGAATTATTCTTTAAGTAGAGCATTTCCTTTTATTTATGTAAATTAAAATAAATGTTAATGACCAAATTTGGTATTTTTACCTCTTTTTAACTCACAAGTTATTAACTCTTAATTTTAAGTGTTGCCCTTCTCGCCTGTTGGCACCTATGCTAGCATTGGAGCTGGGACTTAGAACCTACTGACTGTGGGCTGGTCTACTCTTCCAGGTCAGCAGCCGGTCTCCACAGGGGCAGCTTGGAAAGTGGCCCCTCTCCAGCCCAGAGGGCAGCTGTTCTTTCACAGGCAGCCCAGTGGACATTGTAGGAGGAAGGCAGAGCAGCTGGAGAGCAGCTTCTTATTACCCCTGCTGCCTCTGCATCGGGGATTCGAACCGGTTCTTCCGGGTTCAGTCATAGCCAAGGAAGCAAAACCAGAACAGACCCAGATTTTTAAAATTTGGGTGAACCAGAATGGGAAGAATGATGGGTCGAAGTCCTGCTGGAAATAATCTCCCTCTTAGAAAACAGAAGTAGCTTATCTGTTGCACGGTAACCAGATCTCTTGCCTGTCAGATTTTGCACAGTCTGAGACAGCGGTGCCCTGCTCAAAGACGACGGCCAATTGCGCTGCTTTGAACATGTCACTGTCTGCAGTCCTGCCAGTGTAATTCCATCTCCCACATCAGGCTCCTGAAAGGGCTCACTACACCCCTTCCGTGTCTCCCATTCCAAGGCTTCGACTTGTAATTTTTCCCCATTCCAGATCACTCAAATTTTAAAAATTCGAGTCTGTTCCAGTTTCACTTCATTGGCCATGACTGAACTGGGAAGAACCAATTCCAAGCCCAGCTCTGCACTCTATTGCCTTCTCTGGATGTTGACAGATCAAGCCACTCAATCTGCTCCCGTTGTTTGAGGCACAAGCCCTGTGACATTGCCTGTTTAGGCCCACCATATGTTCACTTATTCTGGGCTCCCCTGCCCTCATCCACTCCCACCTTCTTTGCCTGTAACATCACAGAAGGGGGCCCTTATTCTCTGGTGGACATTTTCCTCCATCCAGTTGTCCACTCTTCCAGTCTTCCCTTTCCCATTCAATGTTTATGTTTTCACCCCCTTCCTTTACGCTGCTCCTTGACAGCACTCTGTAAACACTCCCACCAGCCATGTACAGACCTGCTTTTGTCTGCGTAGATGAGGAAACTTTTCTGTATTACCATAAACAATTTGTATGCCTACTCTACTAAATACCATCTTGGGCCCAGATGATCATGGGTTAAGGGTTTCCTTCTGGGCAGTGTGTGATGGTAAGAACCCCACCCGAGGGAAAGTAGCTGCATGTGTCTGTAGAAACTGAAAGCTGAAGGTGCTGGTTAGTGAGGCTTCAGGTGTGTTGAGGTTTGCAGAGCCAAAGCTGAGCATAGCACTGCAGAGAGGTTTTGATTCCTCCTTCCTCTGCCATGCCAGGGAAGTGATGACCACCTCCCTGTAGCACATCTGCTGTGGGCAGAGACTGCCAGACCACCGCTCCATCTGTAGCAAAAAACAGAGCACTCTTTGAATTGAAATGGCCGGGGAGTGCCCTCTTTCCATGAGAGGATGGGGAAGACTTACTGCATCAGTGTATTTTTAGTGGTCCGAAGTTCACGCAGACATTTTCAGATGTCAGCTAGGTGCTCTGTTTCTGACTTTTAGATGGAGAATGACTGCTTGTGCTTCTGAGCAAACACATTCATGGATCTAGTTATACCCACTCTGTACCAGGTCTTACCTATGTAAACAATACAGCTTAGCAGAGGCGTTCCCATCATCTAGTAGAGATATGTTCATGACATTGTGAGAAAACAAAATATAAGAAAATAAGTCTGTTATTAACCCATTTAAAAATAAAACTATATTGTTATGTAAAAGACCTAGTTCTAGAATGGTACCTACCCAGCAAAAGCCCAAAACCCATTGCCATCGAGTTGATTCCAACTCATAGCAACCCTATAGAACTGCCCCATAGGGTTTCCAAGGAGCGGCTGGTGGATTCAAACTGTCAGCCTTTTGGTTAGCAGCTGAGTGCATAACCACTGCGCCACCAGGGCTCCGCAAAAGCCCATAGCAGTAGTATTTGGTATGTGGTATAGGTGGGACTTTTAGCTTTTACTTCCTGTGCTTCTGTCATATTTGAATTTGTTAAGGTGGACAAACATTTTATACTTTATACATCCCTCCCACCAAAAAAAAGGGAAAGAACAAAACAAAAAAGCAAAGGGCCTCAGGGTTAGGCACCAAGCCCAGGCCCAGGGAAAGGGAGGGAAGGCAGGTGAGAAGCCAGTGAGGGTGGCTTTGTTCACCCAGTGTGTCGGGGAAGTAGGGAGGTCAGTTGTCAGGTTTAGCTGGCGGGGGGTGCTCTGAGAGCCAGACCAGTAGTGGGCAAGGAACATCAGCAGCCCACCAGGGAGGGTGTCACCCCCATGGCTGGGCCATCTGACCTTTGTTCTGGCCCTTCTTGCATCCCATGCATCAGGTCAGGAGCCTGAGTGGCTCTCACAGAGCAGCCTGGTGGATGGGTAGTCAACGAAGCAGTGGATGAGACTGCAGGTGTCAAGAGAGCATTTTTCTCTCGATTTTCAATCTTTTCCTTTTTTATTCCAATAATTCTTTTTCTGATTTTAAAAATAACTTTTTTTGAGGAGCATGAGCATCTGGAAAATAATAGAAAAGTTTAAAAGAAGAAATAAGAATTATCCACATTCTACCACACACATACACAAAACAACTGTTAGGTGCCGTCGAGTCGGTTGCGGCTCATACCGACCTTACGTACAACAGAACGAAACACTGCCCAGTCCCGTGCTGTCCCGATGATTGTTGTTATGCTTGAGCCCACTGTTGCAGCCATGGTATGAATCCATCTCATGGAGGGTTTTCCTCTCCTTTGTTAACCCTCCACTTCACTAAGCATGATGTCCTTCTCTAGGGACTGGTCCCTCCTGTTAACACGTCCAAAGTATGAAGTCTCGTCATCCTCGATTCTAAGAAGCATTCTGGCTGTACTTCTTCCAAGCCAGATTTGTTTGTTCTTTTGGCAGTTCATGGTATATTCAACATTTCTTCGTCAACACCGTAACTCAAAGGCGTCAATTCTTCAGTCTTATTCATTGTCCAGCTTTCACGTGCATTTGAGGTGATTGAAAACACCATGGCTTGGGTCAGGCACACCTTTCTCCTTAAAGTGACATCGGTACTTTTTAACACTTTAAAGAGGTCTTTTGTAGCAGATTTGCCCAATGCGATGTGTCTTTTTTTTTTTTTTCCAACCCCATGACATGTCAACACTCTCCCATCTCAACCTTGGGTTCCGTTACCAGCTTTCCTGTCCCCACCTGCCTTCTCGTCCTTGCCCGTGGGCTGGTGTGCCCCTTTATTTAGTCTCATTTTCTTTTATGAGCCTGTCTAATCCTTGGCTGAAGGGTGAACCTTAGGAGTGACTTCATTACTGAGCTAAAAAGGTGTCTGGGGGCCAAACTCTCGGATTTCTCCAGTATCCATCAGGCCAGTAAGTCTGGTCTTTTTTTATGAGTTAGAATTTTGTTCTACATTTTTCTCCAGCCCTCTCCAGGACCCTCTATTGTGATCCTTGTCAGAGCAGTTGATGGTGGTAGCCGGGCACCATCTAGCTGTACTAGACTCAGTCTGGTGAAGGCCACGATAGTTGTGGTCCATTAGTCCTTTGGATTAATCTTCCCCTTGCGTCTTTGGTTTTCTTCATTCTCCCTTGCTCCTGATGGGGTGAGACCAGTGAAGTATCTTAGATGGCTGCTCACAGGCTTTTAAGACTCCAGATGCTACTCACCAAGGTAGAATGTAGAACATTTTCTTTATAAACTATGTTATGCCAGTTGAGCTAGATGTTCCCCAAGACCATGGTCCCC